TTGGCTTTGCGTTTCCTCCCATGGAACGTACACACTGACAGAAAATCAGACAATTTAGGATAAAACTACACATTTTTAAGTGCAAGAATTAGTACCTGAAGTGAAAAATTAGGTTTTGCAATAAGCATGAAACTGATGTGGAGGAAAATATTACTACAAATTCCCTCGTCTTACCAGCATTCACTTGATCCAACACTTTCTCTTTAGAACTGTTTCTATTATCTTGGTTGTATGATGTTAGACTCATTAAAGGAACATGTGAAAGAGCACTCAGGTTATACAGTGTGAGAACTGGAACATGAACCCATGTGCCCAATGTCCAGATCAGGATGACACCCATGTGCCCGCATCCAGACCAGGACTGGCACCCATGTGCCCACATCCAGGTCAAGATCGGCATCCATGTGCCCACTGTCCAGATCAGGACTGGCACCCATGTGCCAACCGTCCAGATCAGGACAAGTACCCGTGTGCCCACCGTCCGGATCAGGACCAGCCCCCATGTACCCACGGCCCAGGTCAGGACTGGCCCCCGTGTGCCCCCCATCTGGATCAGGAACAGCACCATGTGCCCACCATCTGGATCAGGGCCGGCCCCTGTGTACCCACCCTCCAGATCAGTGTCAACACCTGTGTGCCCACCGTCCAGATCAGGACCAGTGTCCATGTGCCTAGCGTCAAGATCAGGACCGGCACCCATATGCCGAGGATCCAGATGAGGAACAGCACGGTGCCAGTCTCAGCTCTTCCTGATCTCGCCCTTTCCTTCACCCCAGCCCCATTCCTGGCTCACAGACGACCATTCGGAATGTTGGGTTTCATCTCAGGAAATACGAGGCCATGATCACATGCATGGCTGGATGGCTCATGCCTCACAAGGTTGCACATGGACCAACAGTTGCACACAGGTACATGTGGGTTATCCAGTTTCTGTCATGTCTTATTTCTCTGTGTAGATGTACCAAGATTTGCTTTCCAGTCCCTGGTGGTGTGTGCCAGTTGTTCCGTGTTTGGTGCTATGACCTTGAACGTGTGCTCTTTGCGAGCCCATGGACTGCAGCTCGTCAGGCTCCCCTGTCCTTCACTATCTCCCGGAGTTTGCTCAAATTCACGTCCATTGAGTTACTGACGCTATCTAACCATTTCATTCTCTGCCACCCCCTTCTCCTTTTGCCTTCAATCTTTCCCAGCATCAGGGTCTTTTCAAATGAGTCAGCTCTTTCCATCAGGGGGCCAAAGTATTGGAGCTTCAGCATCAGTCCTTCCAATGAATATTCAGGGTTGATTTCCTTTAGGATTGACTGGTTTCATCTCCTTGCAGGCCAAGGGACTCTCAAGAGTCTTCTCCAACACCACAGTTTGAAAGCATCAATTCTTTGACACTCAGTCTTCTTTACGGTCCAACTCTTACATCCATACATTACTACTGGAAAAACCATAATTTTGACTATTTAGACCTTTGTCAGCAAGGTGATGTCTCTGCTTTTTAATACTCTGTCTAGGTATGTCACTTTTCCTTCCAAGAAACAAGCATCTTAATTTCATGGCTACAGTCACCATCTGCAGTGATTTTGGAGCCCAAGAAAATAAAATTTGTCAGTATTTCCACTTTTTCCCCTTCTATTTGCCATGAAGTGATGAGACTGGATGCCAAGATCTTAGGTTTTTGAATACTGAGTTCTAAGCCAGCTTTTTCACTCTCCTCTTTCACCCTTATCAAGAGGCTCTTTAGTTCTTCTTCACTTTCTACCATTAGGGTGGTATCATCTGCATATCTGAGGTTGTTATTTCTCCCAGCAATCTTGATTCCAGCTTGTGTTTCATCCAGCCTGGCATTGCACATGTACTCTGCATAGAAGTTAAATAAGCAGAGTGCAAATATACAGCCTTGTCATACTCCTTTCCCAATTTTGAACCAGTCCATTGTTCCATGTCCAGTTCTAACTGTTGCTTCTTGACCTGTATATAGGTTTCTCAGGAGACAGATAAAATGGTCTGGTATTCCCATCTCTTTAATAATTTTCCATAGTTTTTCTTTAATGTTCTGTCTTTCACATATAATGCTGGAATTGATTCTCCTTTTGGTGTGAGATGTGGGTGTGTTAGTTACTCAGTCATATCTCCTTGTTACCCCTATAGACTATAGCCCTCCAGGCTCCTTTGTCCATGGGATCCTCCAGGCAAGAACACCTGAGTGGGTATCCATTCCCTACTCCAGGGGATCTTCCCACTCCAGGGAACAAACCCACATCTCCTGCATTGCAGGCAGATTGTTTACTGTCTAAGCCACCAGGGAAGCCCTTGGTGTGTAAGACAGGGATCCAATTTTACTATCTTCCTCCACGTGAATAACCACTAGAAACATTCATTTCCCCCCACTGATCTGTGACTATATGAGCAGAAATGTTTCAGGTTTTCATTTATGCATAAATCAACTTCGATCTCTTTCTGTTGTACTGGTCAATTCCCCACTCTGTGCAAACCCCTCACTCTGCATACTACAACCCTGGCAGACTTAAGGTAAACTTTTTCTTCTCTTTTCCCGCCTCCTCTTTCCTCTTCTTGTTAACCCTGGCCTTGGCTCTTTCTAATAAAACTTAGGAACCATACTGTCCAATGCCTCAAAAAAACCCTGGGTGATTTGGATTCCAACTGCACTGTATCTACTTGCCAATATGGGGAGAACCTTTTATAATATTGACTCTTCCTATTAATAACCCTGATGGTCTGTCATTTTATGTCTTTTCTAATGTCTATGTTAAAGTTTTAAAATATTTAAAATATGGTTGATTTTAATTTTTGTCACATATTCAAAAAAGCAAAAACTTCTCAGATAATGGGTGATTTATTTCAATGGTTCTGAAATTTCAAAAACTATAAAAAGAAATACACTAAAAACTCACTTCTGCCCCATTCTTTTTTACCACACTTCCCAGCCCCTCACAGTAACTATGTCCAATCATTTCTTTTTTATCTTTCCAAGGTGTTTTTCCTTGTGGTTAGCATTGAAATTTCTCTATAAATATTTAATACCATACAGACTGTCTTTCAAACCCCAGTAGAACAAAAACAGATATTTAAATCCCAAGCTCTGATCAGATGTAACTTGGTGCAGATGTGTGCCAGTATGCTGGTCCATTTGAAACCATGCCTTCGTGACTTTTTCTTCTTACAAAACATCCTTGTAAACGTCCTTTAGGGAAGGGGTCCTGGTGAAAACTGCTTCTGTTTATCCACAGGCCATCACTTCACACTCATTCCTGAAGAAGGTCTTGCTGAGCACAGAATCCTTTTCTGTGCTCTTCACTCTGAAGCACCCAGCATTATTTTCATGTAGTTTGAACTACTGGAGAGAGACGGACTTTCTCAGTTCCAGTCCCAAGATTTCCCAGGCAGCACCATGATAGCCGTGTCTGAGCTAGTAGAGCGTAGAACAACAGCTCGCCTAGCATGCAGGTGGGAGGACAGGGTTGTGGGCTGGTGGTGACACGGGGCCCAGCAGCAGGGACAGGTAACAGACTACAGTCTCCAAATCATGGCTGAAATTCCCCAACATATCCCTATCATTGGCTGGGGGGGGGGGGGGGGAGTCCTTCTCACACACTGTAGCATCCTTTGGGTACCACGGACACCTGTGTGCTAGCATGACGGGACCCGGGAACTGCCCTCATCATGGGATAAGCCCTGCCCTCCCCGCCTGCAGCCCCCAGCTCAACACTCAGCACGAATCCCATGGAACCAGACTCCCACGCACTTGTCTGGAGGTGCCTGGCGCACATGGAGTCAGCCACCCTTTCCAAAGCCTGACCAAGCCGCCTCCATCATGGATGCCCCCCACACCCCGTCATGCTTCTCAAGTGGCCGAAACCTCACTCTCATCCCTTTCACTTCCTAACACTCTCTTCAGCCTTGACAGGAGGCTCCAATTTGAATATCCTCTCTCTGGAGATCCTGTCCAGCCCAAAAGGCACAGCCCACAAGGCACCAAAGGGTGCTCAGTATACCTGCATGTTGGCCCTAAGCTGCTTAATGTTCTTAGAAATCTGATTTTAAACTCAGAGTGACTTCCATTTTCAGCCTCTATATACAACAGGGACTGCACAACATGTGCTGATGTAAAGCAGAGGCACTCCCAACACAGAGAATAATTTCCTTGACTCCCAATTTATTCAGTGAAAACAGAAAAGCTATGGACAGTGAGGGAGACACATCTTGGTGGCATTTTGATGAAATCAAAGCAATACAAGTCTTGCCTTCTCAATTCCTTATACTAATACGAACTTTAAATGCAACTGAAGGTATAATTATGAAATCTAGGTAATACTCACACTTTCGAAGAGTAGGATGAGAGTGAAATTGTGGAGAAGCTTTGCGCTCTGGGGACTGACGTGTGCCTGCGGTCCACGGGACCTGGGTGGCAAGTCCTCCTGGTCTGGGGGACACGCCAGGCAGGGCCCTGCCACCTGCCGGGTTCCCAGGAGCCACCTGTCATGGCTCCCATGGCAGATGCAGCTCCATCTACGTGACTGAGAACAGGACAGTGAGCAGGGCCACAGCCAATCCCAGCATGCATTCAACATAGAAAACAGAGCCTCTCTCTGTAACAGATCACTTTCTGTAACAGGTCGCTTTCTGGAACTGCATTTGTTCTCAACTTTCAAACAAGCTTAACTATAGTAAGGACAGGACAAGTGTTCATGAAACTGAGGGACTCTGACAAAGGACTGTATTTTGTCAAGTTATTAACTCCCTTCAGAAATTTTGGGGTTGGCAATGCAGGAATGGAGAAGTGTAATGTGGATCATTTAATTACAGTATAAAAGAAAATAAAACACAACTGAGCTTTGAAGTCTAAAAGTTTTTCAAATGAGCAATACTATAATTAACTTGTTCACTTTCTACAGGATTGTGATGTTCAGCAGCCATACCAAAGTAAAAACATGAAAAAAAAGTCAAATAATTTTTAAAAACTCCTAATAACAACACTTTCACAACAATAGTTACAGAACGTGGGTTTTTAATGAATCTCATACTGCAATGAAGACACTGAACACTTATGAACAATTACATCAACACAGTAAAAACACCTGCTTCTACATGACACTTATAAATGCACACTTTCCCCCCAAAAAAAACTCATTTTTCACAGATTTAAGCAACAGATGATTTACATAGGATTCTTCAGTTCCAGAATAGGTACAGAATTTTCACTCTGCAGAAACTGATGTGCAGTGGTTGAGAAAAAGGGTGTCATTTGTCCAACAACACACCTCTCAAGAAATTCTCTTGACACATGATTTCCAGTAAACACACATTTCCTCCTGCTATGACAGGAAATTATGGACTCATCGGCACATGGACAAAACCACTCCCACTTCCAAACACTACTTCAGATGAAATCAAGGCAGTGGGTCACATGATTTCACTGCAGCCGCATGCACACACATCCCCACGCACACTCACGTGCACAAAGGGGTGTGCACACACAGCACCCCCAGCTCCTTCATTGACACCCGAAGACACCCCATGACCACGGTGGCGGATCCCGCTCCTGAGAAGGGCCAAGGCCCGGGGAGGAGATGGGGCTGCATGTGGAGCTTCATCCACACGGCTGGCACACACACTGAGTTCACTTGTTTCCCACTGTTCCAATGGGCAGAGATCTGGGTAGGTCTGGCGCGATAACTTGCAGACATTTTCCAATGTTCCTAGCAGTGACTCTAGTAAGACATTCAGCTGTGAGACTAAAGCAGGAGAGGCCAGTGTGTGCAGAGGCAGGGGGCAGCTCCACGTGAGACCCGGGGCGGGAGCCATCCTCACACCGCAGTCAGGGAATGTCGGACTCCAACATCAGCTCCTGAGCCGCCGCTGCTGTAAAGCTGCCCTGAAACTCCTGCCGTCTCACCCTCGCTCCTCAGATCTCCCTCCCACCCGGCCAGGGGTCCCCCAGACCCAGTCCTGACCATCCAGGGCCGAGAGGCCTGAGGTCGGCTACCGTGGTGCCTGACCGAAGGACCCACGGGCAAAGGACCAGCACTCAGGCCACCCCACCTGACACCACAGAATGGAAGCAGTTACAGGACGAGGCCGACACAATGGTCTCCAGTGTCCCTCTCGGTGCCTGCCCCAGGACAGCCTCCAAGGGTTACAAACAGGGCAGGGGGAGGCTAGGGGGCACTGGGGTCTCGCTATCAAACTATAACTCAACAAGAAACACGACTCGTGAACACTGGACAGAAAGTCCTGAGAAGGCAGGAGCGACAGGCTCCAGGCAGGAGGGGCTCCTGGCAAACCTTCCTGGGCAGGGCCATTGCTGCGCCCACCTCTCCTGCCTTCTGGATGAGCTCATTTCAGCTCTAAATCACAAGTGCCCGAGCCAGTAACAGAGACACTCCAAGTTTCCCAAATACTTCATATCTGAGGTAGAACTCATTTATTTGCATTGCTGGCTCTCAGATGCCACCAAGAAGTGAACCCACTTGGAAACATGCAAACCCAAGGTGTAGAAAATAAATAAGGTTTGTCTTCAGGTAGCAGGGCCTTCTAGAAAGGTCAAGTCACATTCAATGGATAAGTCATCTGAAACTTCTAAAAACTGTTTATAACCACAGCTATAAACTAAAGTGCTTTAAATTTTACTTAATATCCGGAATCAGTGATTAGAACCATTCTATTTCAGAATTTGCCAGCATGAGATACCTCAGGAGATTGAAATGGTTTTCCATAAAGAGCAGAAATTTTTTCTTTTCAAAAGAAACTGTCCAAATGTTGCAAATTCAACATTCTATGCTTTTTTTAACTTCTAAAATCCAAGCAGATTTCACAACTGTAACAGAACACAAAGGTGAAGCTGAGTCAGCACACGCTAGAACCCCACACAGACGTGAGGTCTTTGCCCACTCCCACTGGACAGGCACACATGCACCATCGCTCCAGATGCCCCGCCCTCCTGTCAGCCGACACACCAGGGACTCACTACACCAGCGGCCATGGAAAGGGCTCCACCTCACGGCCGCAATGCCCACACACACAAAACAGAAAGAAACAACAGGGCACACCTTTGGACACTTCATGCAACCTGGGTACAGTGAGGAGAGAGCGCCCTGCTCAGGTCCACCGCCCACAGCCGCGGCGTCCCAGCGCCCAGCGAGCCGGCAGGCACGGTCCCAGCCGGCGGGAGCCTCGGAACGGCACCCTCACTTCTCCTGTAGCAGCGCCGGGATGTTGATGTTCCAGCCGATGGCCTGCCGGTCAAAACCGCAGGTGAACAGGTTGCACACAGGGTGGTCCTCGCTCCAGGCTGAGCCACACACCATCCGCCGATGGCCCTGCAACCAGGCACAGCGCCGTCAGAGCAGGGCCCAAGAAGGACCACACCCCCATGACCTGTCAGAAAGGGGGCCCTGAACTGGACCAGTCAGGAGACCTCCTGTGCTGCTGGGGGAGCTGCTGCGAAACAAGGGGTGGGAACACAGCTGAGTTCAGTGCAGCCCAACCAGCGCCTCAGGACTCTTTCTTCAAGAACAGGAGTCAGATGGCAGTCAACAGGAAGAATGCAGAAACGGTCCCTCTGGGATGTTTTAATGAATAAATGAGGATGGATGATGTGGGAAGAAACAAATATAATTCACTCAAAGACCCCAAGTACCATTTGAACAAATAATTGTTTCAAGGAATAAAGGAGCTAGAAATATACCTTTGGTGCCAAATAAAACAAAGATAAAGTAAATGGCCTTTCAAGCAGATTCCCGCCACCTTCAGAATGCTGGAACAAACACTGCAGGCTATCTGGGGAGTTTAAAGTGGGACACATTGACCTGTTACTGTAATATACAACAGGTACAGGGCAGGATTCAGAAAAGCTGACACAAATCCCGTAAGTAAAACATACTCTCAATAGAACAGCACCAAAATTCCCTCCGCAAGACATCCCCACGGGGATGTGTGGAGGGGGGAGTGCCGTCCACACACTGGGGAGGCCTTCCCAGGCCAGAGGCCCAGGGCCGCCAGTGGAGGGATGCTCACAGCAGGAGCAAGGCCTGCCCTCCATGACCACTGAGAAAACTGCAGCAGGTCACCTGAGACAGGCACTGAGGTCAGGGCTCCGGACAAGAGACCACAAACGCCAGGGCCACTGCAGGACACTGGTGTCAGCAACCTTACAGCGGGCAGGAGGGGCTAGAAAGCTGGGGAGTAGGGAGTCCAGAGCATCCCCACCAGGCCCACACACCCACTCACACCCCTCTGCTCACTGGGCCCCAGCGCTCCCTAGTCCTGACCCTCAAGTGACCGAGTATTTCTGATGGAGACCCGGTAAGAAGAGGGCGTAAAATTGTGAACATTCTTCTACTGACTGCATGTGAGGCGGTTGTTTTGAATGTACTTGAGTAATTAAAACCCACTGTGAGAATTAACTTCTTTCTTCCAGGAGGGGCTCCTGGAGCACTGAACACAGCCAGGCTGGCTGGGAGCTCCCCACCATCAGAGAGCGGGCCCTGCCCCCAGCCCCCCACACAGGCGACCCCAGCACGCACCTGCCGACTGCTGCGCGGGAGCCTAGCCAGCCGCACACCCGACATATCGAACAGCCTCACCTGGCGGTTGTCGTGGGGGAGGGCGATGATTTTTTGGCCAACACACACATTGATCCTACAAGGTGTAGGAGAAGAGAAAAATAAATTACGTAACCAACAGTGACAACACAAGTTTTTGAGATTACAGGCGATAATGCAGTGGGGGTTTCATGCATTCCCCTCTTCAAGCCAAAACACATTAGCAAACCAAGGTGTTACCAGCCTAAGGCATCATAAAACGGGCTGAGTTACTCACCTGTAACTTACATGTGCTACACAGTAACCTCTGGCCAAAAAGGACTCATTCTTAATTCTTAAAAAGCTCAATACACCAACCTGATTTTATACCCAGGTTTCAGTATTTATAGAATACATAATGTGCATTAGAGGATCAATAAAAGATATTTTCCTGAGAGTCTAAAGCACTTTTCCCAAGGCCCTACCAAGTAAACTCAAGTTTATAGGAACCCAACACAGGCCACAAGCCACCTTAAGGCCACCCTAATGGTCCTTGGAGGAGCACCCTTCACCTGTTGATGGCAGAGTCTGTGCGGATGGTGGCAATGGGGGACCGCATGTTCTTTAGGTCCCAGACCTTCACGGTGCGGTCATCACTGCCAGAGACCACGTTATCTCCCACGGTGAACACAGCAGAGGTCACAGTGCTGCCAAGAGAGGGAACGGGGTCAGAACCTCGTCATGAAGTCCCTGTCCACACTGCACAGCAGACACCCAATCCTGCCACCCCGGGGCCTGTTGGGCGGGCGGGGAGGCAGGGATGTGGACACCGTGAGTTGTCAACTCCATTCACTGGTCCTCCCACTAACCCCTGCCAGCAGACAAGGTCCCCGCTGACCTCTCCAAGGCAGCCTCACCTGGTCCCAGCAGCGGAACAAGGAGAGGGCTCCCAGACAAGATGGGCCAGATAGACAGGACCCACCCAAATCTCTAGAGCAGACAGTTAAACATCCACCCCAACTGAGACTTTCAGACAATTCAATCAGAGCACTGGAAAAAAATTCATTCCAACAACAAAAAACCATTTAAAAAATGATCTGAACAGACTTCTCCAAGGGAGGTTTACAGATGGCCAATAGGCCCATGAAAACGTGCCCAACATCTCTAATCACCAGGGAAATGCACACCAGACCCCAGTGAGCTGGTACTCCACACCTGTCAGAATGGCCATCATCAAAGAGACAAGCGATCAGTGTTGGAGAGGGTGGGGAGAAAGGGAACCCTCCTACAATGTTGATGCAAATGTAAACTGGTGCAGCCACTGTGAAAAACATTGTGGAAATTCCTCAAAGACAGAACTATCATGTGACTCAGCAATTTCACTCCTGGGTATTTAACTGTAAAAAAAAAAATCAAAAAGATACACACATACCAAAGTGCATGGCAGCACTGTTTACAACAGCCACGACAGAGAAGCAACCAAAAACTCCACTGACAGAGGACTGGGTAAAGAGGATGTGGTTCATACAGAGTGGGATGGACCTGGAGGGCACTGTGTTAAGGTCAAAGGCCGAGTGCACGACAGGGAGAAAGACAGAGACAAGGGTAACCCCAAGAGCAACCCGATGACTCGTCCAAACTCCTCATCTGACGACAAGGACACAGTGGGGGCTTGAGTGGGAACCAGGTGCTGCTGCCCCTCAGGCCACAGGGCCATCTGAGCGCCCGGCCACTGACAGGGCCCTAAGGCGGACACCTCCACTGCCGGCGACCTCCCTGTGGATGTGAGGCCTCAGGAGGTCTGACCCAGTTAAACCTCAGTTAATACTCCGCTAAATTAGTGGGGAAAATCCCCACAAAGCTTGTCGAACCCTATTAATGAAATGCTGAAAGACGCTGGGATTCAATGCATCAGGACCCTGACAGGTATTATGGGGCATCAAAGTGAGAGGCTGGCTTCAGTCCTTCCAAGGACTGTCCTCCCAAGGCCTCTCCCACACGGTCCCTTGGGGCAGTGGAAGGCCCGGCCCCACCAGCGCCCGCCGCCTCATTTTTCTTGTCGCCAAGAGCAGCCGAGCGTGTGCCTCCAGCTGACAAGAGCGTCTCCGCCATCACGGCACGCCTAGAACATTCGTTCCGCTCCCTCTGTGGGCCTCAATCAGCGGAGATGGGAAGCTGGGCTCCTCATTAGGATCCACAGCTGTCCCCCCATCACACAGGGAAGTGGCTGCTCTGCATAACAATCTGCTGAAACTTCCCAGCCAAGGAAGAAAGTGCACCATGTGGAAAATGAAGCCCGGAGACAGGAGGCAGCAACTCCTCTGGCACCAGCCGCAGGCGCCTTCTCATTCTGAGGGGGACCGGGCTTCTGATGGGGCAGAGTGAGCAGGCAGGGAGCAGACATTCTGGCAACGGGGACCCAGGCAGACCCTTCGCGACTCTTCCACTTTGCAGTGTAAGGGGCTCATGGAGTGCAGACCCAGGTGTGACGCAACACAAGGCCCACGCGACCCTCCTGCCTGACAGCCACTGCGCACAAGCCCACAAGGACCTGACCGATGCTGTTCACAGGGGTCAGGCGGCCCCCACCTTCCAACCACTGGCCTCCAAGCTGTGCTCTAGAAGCTAAGGTCCCCAAGGAGGAACCCATCCTCAGGAACACCCTGGGCCCTCAGAGCACCGCCCCCTCGAGCACGGGCCCCCCAAGTCAGAAAATGCTCGGCTCCCGCAGTTCACGATCTCAGATGCCTGAGTGAGAAATGGAAACTCATCTCCCAACGACACAAACTTCTGAGGAGTCCTGGAAGGCCAGCTCCCCGAGGAGCAGACCCTGAGATAACAAGTATTCAAAGGAAAAGTCAGGTTTGCACCACACTGATTCTTTCTGGGATTTCAAATCCGGCTTCCCCTGGAGGAGGGCAGGGGACACTCCAGCAAGCAGGGCCAGACCTCACTTGATGCCCCACTCCAGCTGCCCCCAGGCTCAGTGCGGACATTCCCTGCTCACTTCACGAGGCTGAACCCCAGAACCGCTCCCTCGACCACCGCGTGCCAGGCCCTGCGTCCTACGAGAAAACACACAACAGAAGGTACTGACACTATCCAGCCGAGGGCCCTGACACGGCCGTGTGCACACAGGCCTCAGAGCTGCGTGCAGCACCCATCAGGAGTGACACGGGCTGCATGGAACATGACACGTGCAGAGGTGCGGGTGTGACCTCCTGCGGCACCGCCACAGCCCCACCTGCTCCCTGCTCCGGGGCGCTCGAGGCATCCTGCCAACACCTTATCAGGTCCAGAAGAAGTGCAGACAGAAAGAAATTTTTCTGTGAGACGTCGTGTCTTGCTTTCTTTAGACAAGAAAGCACCTGAGTTCACACTCTAGGAGTAAAGTAAACAATATGAAACGAATTTAGGCAAAAAGAAAGAAAAAACTCTGCATTCTCAGATATTTCTAAGAATGAAATATTCCGTGCTAATTTCCAATTTCTTCAATGCCAAAGTTTATGGCACATGTAGACACCATCAGCTGGGCACAGCCTGGAGTCATCGGCCACCCACGGGGGAAGCTTAATGACCAGTGACTGCCTCCACTGCTGGCCCCTTTTTATAGCAATGGAAACAGAACAAAATGAAACTAAAAACAGGGTGACAACTCTGCCGCACTCCACAGGAGGCAATGGTTCTGGGAGGGCGAGGGGGGAGGGGGGGCTTCTCTCAAGTGCAGCAGGGGTTCCAGCCCCAGATAAGTTTCATGACAGTGAGAGCCGTTCACAGGAACGGCCCTGGATCCTACCCACATGGCCGGAGTCCAGCCCCACTGCACGTCATAGAGGGGCCAGAGCATTGTCCCCACCAGGCCGTCCTCAGGTGGTGGTGGAAAGCACATGAACACACAAGGACTGAGCTCATCAGACAAAAAATTCTGGGTTTCAGTTATAGCTGATGACAGAAATACATGAGAAATGAACTGCCAATAGTTGAAACTCCTGTGACATTCCAAATTTTTCCAACTAAACATCTCTGTCATTTCCAAGAACAGGACACACTACAAACCCCACTTATCAGGTTACATAAGGTTACATAAGGTTTCTAAAATTGCTTTTCAGTCAAATTGGTAAGCCTTGGGCCACCAAAAGCTTGTCTAATAATACAGACCCCAAGCTTCGCTACATAAATCCTGTTAAGATTCCTATTATAACTAAGAAATTTCATAATATAGAGTGAAAATAAAGGTAGCATACCAAAAAGGGGGTGGGAGGCTCATTTGTCTTTTTCACAAATGTACAATAAAAACCCTAAACAGACACTCCACCAGGAGCTCTCTCTCCATCCAGCAAAAATAATACAGCCAGATCTCAGGGGGACTCGTCACCTACAAACATTTGTTTATCTTACAGAGAAGTGTTACATCTCAAATCCTAGTTTCTGAAAAAGGCACAGGAGCCATGTGAAAGTTGGGGTAACAGTACCAGAAATGAAAAGGAGAAAACAATCTCTCCCTCAGGTCCCAGAGAAGCTGGGCTACAGAACTGAGTTGGTGATGCTGAAGCCTACACTGCTACACCTTGCCTTAACAACCAGCACACAGAACACTCGAATTACCTGTATTTCGAGTTAAAGTACTCACATCATAGAAGATGTTAAGAGTCCAACACACTTCACTAGAGAACTTGTGCTGAGTCCCTATAAATGAAAATATGCCCTAAGATAAGCTTTCCCAAAGTGTGTTCCACATCATAATGTAACATGAAACATGCAGTCACACAGTAAGAAACACTGCCTCTGTGTAAGCAACCATCCACTGAGAACACTCCACAGAGACTTTCTAGGGTGACACAAGGGAAAAAGAGCCACACTCCTGAGAACAGCACATCTGAGTGTTTGTTTCAATGCTCAGAAAACCACTGCATTAAGAGGATCAAGAAAACCACCCTAGAAAACCCAGTTACTTCCCAGCCCAGATCAGAGTTAAAAAAACATTTACGCGACCAAGACTCACTCCGTGTGGCCCTGGAACACGTTCACAGAGTGGATGGAAGGGTCGCGGAAGTCCCACAGACGGAATGTCGTGTCACGGGAGGAGGTCACCACCAGCCGCTGGGTCGGGTGCGTGCAGCAGTGTGTCAGCTCCTGGTCATGTCCTGTGGGAGATGGAGGACGCAGTCACAGTGAGGCCCCCACTCGGCTCCTGGGAAAAGCAGTCGTGGGGACGGTGTGTGGGGTCAGGGGGGACCCATGTCCCTTCCCCTCGTGCATTCGAAAGAGCTGAACGAGCAGTGTGGGAGGGACACTCCTGACCGCAACGGCTGAAAGGTCAGGAGGGTCTCTACAGGCTGAGTATATGAGAAAGTACAGTTCTGAGTTTCGCATGTGAGAAGAATAACCCACGGGTGGAGCGCACAGTGGGACACATCCCTGTCACTCAATGACAAAACGCGCTGACAAGCAGGTATGAAGGCTGGTGGCAGGCAGGGGGCTGTACACGCCCTGCAGGACTCCTGCCCTGCATGTGGGCACAACCTGCAGATGCGTGGGACGGTGTTGTGGTGATCTTAGTACATTATAACACAAAATGGGTTTTGCAGATATGACTTAAGGCCTCCAAATCGCATGGCTTTCAGTTAGTCAAAAAAAAGAAAAAGACAGACTTCCTAGGTGGCCTGCCATAGTCAGGTGGGCCTTTTTAAGGGTCCCGAGAGAGATCCACTCCTGCTGGCCTGGAGAAAAGCCAACAGCACGTGGTGAGAAGCCTCTGGCAGGGCCGGGGGAGGGGGGCTGCAGCCGCCTCCAGGTACTGAAAGCTGCCCCCAGCCAAAAACCGGCAGAGAAACGGCCACAGGAAAGGGATCCTTGCAATGGCAGCAAGAGGACCGCAGGTCTCAGGTGAGGGCAAAACCCCGCAAGCACTCACATCCTACCCATGACACCCTGAGAATCAGAGCGTCAGCGAGCACATGCCCAAAACTCCTGGCCAGGGAGTTTTGTTATAAATTCGTGTTATTTTAAGATACTAAGTGTGTGGAAATTAAAGCAAAAAAAAAGCTAACACACCAACCACATTCAAATATCTACAAACTGTATGTCTCTAGGTGCAATTACACCCCCCGAAGATAAGATAAATTTAACCACTTATGGCTCCATTTCTCAGGAGGATCTCTGAAAATCACAGCTGTGCCAACACTCAATCCAGACGAGAAGTCCCTCCCACATGACGCACCTGTCAGGGAGTGGACGAGCTCTGACGTCTCCACATCGTACAGGTTGGCCGTTCTGTCCCAGGAGGCTGTCACTGCCTGCTTCCCACCAACCAGCCAGTCAGCAGCTATGACCACGCCCTGGTGGCTCTTCAGAGATGTCAGTGGTGCCCGGATGGTGGGACATTCGCTGGAGGGGTCGGCATCTGCATCAGGCTCGTCCTTGTCGGAGCACTCCACTTCGTCCTCACCACAGAGCTGGGGAAGCAGAGGTGGGTCCCTGGGGATCCTGACCTTGCAGACCAGCTGCACAGTCAGACCACTACCGCCTATCCTTCCAGGACTTAACCACCATTATGACTGACCCAGCGGACACCTGGCACAAGTAAACTTGCACACGCACCATGTGTGAGTACACACCACATGGACACACAATATGTGTGTCACATCTACAAACACAGCAGAGTTAAAATAAAGTCTCTGTTAAAATAAAAAATACATACATAACACACTCAGTTAAAAACGAATTGTTAAGGGGCTCCCCTGGTGGCTCAGTGGTAAAGAATCCGCCTGCCAATGCAGAAGACACGTGTTCAATCCCTGATCCAGGAAGCCCCCACATGCCTCGGAGCAACTGAGTTCGAGAGACACAACTATCAAGTTCTGCGCGCCAGGGCCCAGGAGCTGTGAACCGAAGCCCATGCATCCTAGAGTCCATGCTCTGCAACAAGAGAACTCACTGGAATGAGAAGTCTGTGCATCACAACTAGAGAGTAGCCCCCGCTCGCGACGACTAGAGAAAACCCTCGCAGCAACAAAGACCCAGCATGGCCAAAAATTAAAAGTAAATTTTAAAAAATGAATTGCTAAGACTGCTTACCTAAAGAAAGCTCACTCTTACTCATTACTGGAATTTATTAATTACTTAACCCATCTCCAAACAGAACAAGGTTTAAAAGGTTTAAAAAGAGAAAAGTAATCATCACAGGCAAAAATAGGAAAACTGGGAGATTACTATCACCCTCTAACAATTACAGCCAAAACATAAACAGAAATCTAACCTCTGCTAGACCACGTGAACTCACCCAGCAACCTGGGCCTGCAAAGACCCCCACCTGCGGGAGCAGCGCAGGGAGGGCCCCCGTGTGCACAGAGCTGACACGGTGCAACTACATCTGACAGGACAGGTAGGAACTGGGCGGTCTGTGGTTTAAACCTGTGGTCCATTCTTCTCAACATGCAACCTAACTTGTCACCAACATTAAAACTTAACCCATGTAACAATGACATCACACACCCCACTGACCTACAGGGTTTATCTCACATGAGAGACAAACCAGTTGTCTACAATCAAATATATAAAACACTAAAAACTTAACCTAAGCATAAAATTAAAGGACTAATATATGTAAATGTTATAACTTTTGTGGAGAAGAAAGTAAATGCAAACACAGGAGATGTAGACAGACACACACCCTGGTCTGCTGGGCGGCCTGTGGGGAGGGCTCGCACCCGGCTGGTGTCCCGGCAGGCAGACGGTGGCCTCACTTGGCCTCTGCTCGGTGCACGCAGGGAGCAGCACAGGGAGCCCTCGGGCACCTCTTCTCCTCCAGACACCAATCCTGCTGGTCAGAGCCCCACCCTGCAACCTCACTTGACCTTAGTGACTTCTTCAGAGGCCCATCTCCACAGAGAGCCCCCCAGGGTAAGGGTTCTAACCTATGAATTTGGGGACACACACATTCAGTCCACAACAGATACCATTAAGTTTCTCCTAAAACTCACAGATGTCCAGAACCCACCGACATACCCCGGGTCGTGCTTTCAGGGTAAGTAAACGTGCTGCTTACACTAGAGTCGGCCGCAGGCTGAGGAGCAGGCAGCTGGACTGCATACCTCCACACGTGGGCAGTCTGATCTCCAGAGGCTGAGGAGAGAAGGCAGGAGGGGGGGCGTTACCCGGCACCCAGACAAGCACGGGTGAGGCCCGGTTAAGTCCACTCCTTGAGAGATCACAAGGGATCAACCTGATTTAAACAGGTTCTTCTGAGATGCTCCCAGAAATAGCAAAGGTGCCCAGAGATAACTACCTATAAAAATAATTCCCCCAATCCCAAAGTGGAAAGCTCTGAAGGTTCAGAAAACTCACAAGGCGTGGATTTCATTCCCCACCTGGCTAATCTAAGACGACAGACACCCAAGTCCACAGTAACTCGAGTGCACAATCCCGTCTGCTGAACCAGGAGGCACCTCACCCCGGTCAGAGAGCAGCTGGCACCAAGACCTCAATGTCAGTAGCCAGGCCTCGAGGGGTGCTCAGACCCAGGAAAGACAGAGGGCTGCTGAGAGGCACAGATGGCCTGCAGACGTGCCAAAGGGCCACCTCCACCCCACACAGGAGCACCGTCTGGACTCCACCTTCCCTAGCTGCAAAGCTCCCCGAAAGCAGCGGACAGCAGCATGGGCCTTGTGGCATCAAAGTGCCCGACCTTCCGGCCTCTCGAGCTGGCATCCAGTCCTAGCCCCATGTGCCTCCTCTCCCCAGGCTGCCACTCTGCCAGTTTCTGTCCCCACCGCAGCCTCCTGACACGTCTCGACTTCAACCCCCTCTCTCCAGCCCAGCTGTCCCTGGTCTCCCTCCAGCTCCCCGATTGCACAACAAACGGCCCCCATAACAAGGCTTCACTCCCAGCTGACTGCTCCCCAGAGGTCAGCTCAGACGTTCACTAGCTGTCACCTGTCCACAGGTGCAGGCCTGTTCAAACCAGCCTCAAAATGAAAACAGGTACTCTGGTGCTTCACAGAAAAGCCTGCTGATCACTGGTTTAGACACACATTCACCCTTCAGGTTACAGAGGGTCACACAGTTTTATGGGCTAACTCCTCAGTGGGACCATGAAAGTGTTTGTGAGACCATTAGGTGAGGCGAAGACAAACCCAAGGAACCACAGCTCTGAGAGGACCACTCGGGAAGAAGTGAAGATATGAGCCCTGCAGGTGCCCAACCCAGGACCGCTGACCTCCTTTCTATGCCCACGAGGTCTGAGAGAGCCTGAGAGCCAGAGAGTGGACAGCAGAGATAGGCTCTGTAAAAAGACCTCCAGGAGAACCAAACTAACTCACAAGCCACTGCTGGTTAAAAATAACCCTTGGTGTTGTTTTCTTTATTCATTTTTCATGCAACTTGTGAAATGTCTACTAACGACCAACTTCTGTGAATAGCATGGCTAATCCTGATGCTACTGATAAGAAAAGGAATGACAGATGTTTTCAGATCAGCAGTAACTATTCAATAAAGAAAAAAAATCAACATACCAGTGAGCGCCAACTGTTCTGATGGATGAAATTTTATGGAATTCACTGCAAAGTAAAAATGTTGAAAAACAGGTTTACAATAAGAATATATCATCAATATCTATTACAGCTACAGTGTATGTTGTAAGGTTAAATTTAAAATCTAAAGAATTATAATAGTTCAATATTAAATCTCATTCCATTAAGCTATGAATAAAGAGAACAGAAATACAACACAAAATAACTAAATATGAACTACCAAATCACTCAAGAATCGGCTACACAAGAAAACAATACTTGATCTCTTAAACACTGAGAAGTCACTGAGAGCTGAAAGTAAACCAGGATGAAAAAAGAAAACTTAATTACAAAAGGCAGAGGTAGATTATGGTGAGGGACACTGTTCACTGCCCACACGCCCACCCTCCAGGGAAGCCTTGAGTTCACGATCTGCACAGAAATAAGACCACTACTCTCTTCAGGACAGCAAAGCTGGGGACTGCAAGTGAGGCACATGCCGGGGGAGCTGTGGGCCGCACTATGCTGTGATGAGGACATGGAGCACAGAGCCCATCTCCCTTCTTAACAGGGGTCCCTCTCTCGTCTAAAACTCAAAAAAGTAAGAAACAATAAGACGGGCTATTTTTCTAAATGGAAGGAAAGAACAGAAGATTTAAAACTGTTTCAAGTGGCTGACTTTGAGAAGTGGAGATGGGCAGTGAGAAGGATGCACATGAGGCCCCCGTGGGTTTGTCACACAAGCTAACACTTTCTTAATGCTCAGGCTGAGTACTCTAGCATGTCACACCCACTGCAGGAGCAGCAGCCCCCAGGTACGGTCCTGAGGGAGATGGACCAGGGTCCAGCTGGAGGGGACGGTGGACGAGGCAGGGGTGGGGGGCCAAGCAGGACCTGGCCCACAGCCCCGATGAGACAGCGGTACACCCCCACTGATGGGACAGGAGAGGTGCCAGGGAGGAGGGGGAGAGGCAGTGCTCACCCAAGTCCGTGGGGGACATGGCGGACCCTGGATGCGGGTAATGGACACCACCACCAAGTCTGTGTGAGGGGTGAAGGGTGAGCTGGCCAGGGGCAATGACACACAAGCCCAGAGCCAGGGCGCTGGAAGGAAGAGGGGTGAGTGGGACAGTCCATGGTGCCCACAGCAAGGAGCCCAGCGGGCACCAGCACCCACAGGGCCAACATACATCACCTCTGCACCACGGAGCCTTGGCAACTGGACAGTGCGAAGCCAGTGCACACACGTCAGTCCCAGACCATGCAAGGCGAGAGGCCGAGGCCCGGCCCCCATAAGGGGACACCCCGCGATCTACGGCTCACCTGACCCCACATGGCCCGTGTACTTGGCGAGGCTCCGCCCCGTCTCGATACTCCACAGCAGAGCCGTGTGATCTGCAAGATCCAAACAAAGAGAAGTGAGTTGCTGCCAACATTAGTCTTTTTAATTAAAGATGAGGATAAAAACTCTAAAGCTGAGAAGTTTCATCACCACTAGTACCTCATGGGATTTTGCTCACACTCCTCTGTAATCCAACTGATACAAGAAGACAGGGGGCCAGTGACCCACCCAAGGCCATGGAACTGGCAGGGGAACTGGCAGGGGAACCTGGGGACCTGACTCCCGGGGCATGGCCATGCTGCCAGCACCAGGCCTGGGACCTGAGACACCAGGGTCCATGGGTCACAGGCTCGTCACCTTGCTGAAATAGTAAGACTTTTCAGAACATCAAGCTATATTCAAATGCAAGTAGCACCCAAGTCCAGTTCCAAATCATCTGAGATAATCCATGCTCTGTGGACCTCTCCAAAACAAAGATAAAAAGGACACTCATTAAGGAAACCTGATAAAAAGTGCTGATTATCCATGTGAGATTTCAGAAATAATCATAAAAGAGAATCTGTATCCTTTAAGCTAAAATTTCCAAAATAATCTGGGGTGCTCATGTATAAACACAGTTTTAAACAACAGAAAACTTCCTTCATCATTCTAATGACTTTACATTTCCTATTTCCACTCAAAAAGGCTGGATTTAGCGCATAACTTCTCACAAGTTGGCCCTCCTTTTCCGCAAGTAAGTACACTTTTAATTTCGGGAACTTTCTCTGAAGGGTTATTAGGTTAATAGCTCTCAGAAGACACTTTCTCTCCAAGGAGAACGAGCTCTCTGATTCCGCCCCAGGACTCTTGGCAGTGGAACCCGTACACCAGGCCAGCATGGCGCTGTCAGACCACACAGCACGTCCTTGGAGGGACCTCTCGAGTGGGGAAAAGTGAAATACACTATCAAAGCAAATGTACACTGACCACGGCTGACAAGAAAGCCAATCACAACTACCTAGAGCCATGGAGAGGCAATCCACCCTGTGCCACTGGACAGTGTCCCGGACAGTGAGTGGTTCCAAACGCAGCCACTCACTCAGATGCCGATAGGCACATAGCCAAGCGTTTGGCCGTGCTGCCTCTAGGGGAAGCCCTGCTCCAGGCTGGGGTGGTTCCAGACTCACCAGCAGACGCCGTCCCCAGCACCACGGGCTGCGTCCTTGCCACACTGACGTCCCAGATGCCATCCCGGTGGCCGATGTACTCCTTCACAAGCTGGCACACTGCCCGGGATGTGGTGGTCTTAAAGCTGGAGACGATCTGAAATTGTGATGGAATTTACTGAGCGAGTGTTTCAGTTAAAAAAAAAAATAAGACAATGTGTCTGGAAAATGCATAAATCATTGAAAAGAAAATTTAAAACATTATAGCAACATAGTGTAGGTGCAGTTGGATCTCACAAAGCAGGGCAAAGCCCTTACAAAGGCCTCAGAAGAACCCCACAACCACCCCCGACCACCTGCTTGCCTGTCTGTCCTTACATGTCCTCATACACAAACCCAAACTATCACACAACATTTCCAAATTCTCAAAAAAAAAAAAAAGGACATAAAAAGTCAGGAAGTTATACCCCAAATCCTTAACCCTAATTACTCTTACTATTGGGAGATCTGTCTTTTCTTATTTTTAGTAATTCACACCAAACACATGACCAGGAGAAAAAGAATCTAAGGCGGGAAGGAATGAAAAGGTAACAGGTGAGGTCACTGAGCACGGTCTCAGCCAGTCCTGCACCGGAGGGGGCAGGGGGCAGGGCAGGGCAGGGCCAGCGGGCCCTGGCCTCAGGCAGCACACAGGCTGGCACGAACACTCAGGCACAGCGGTCAGGAGGTGGCATCCTATGTGACCCACACAGCACGCAGTCCCCCCTTTCTCTCATAAAGGAAGGGCCTGAGGGAGACGCTAACAAAACACAAAGGGTTTGGTTTTTTAATTGTTCTGGGATAAAAGATGGCTTTTCTGCCTTTAAAGTTAATCAGAATACTGAAATGGTAAAACCAAGTTAAAAAAAATGTGGGAGGTATTCTACAGTTACTTTAAACACTGATTTAGCAAAGCACTAAAAATGCATCTACATTTATTTTTTATATAAACACTTAAAACACAATCCACTATTGCACCACCACCAGGATGAGTCTTCAAACGATTCCTGACACAGTGAAAGGCTGAAACAGACTTCCAGCAGACAAATTCACTCTTCAGTACACACTCCTGACTTGGCTTAAGTGTAAAAGGAGGGACAGCACTTCCCAGGTGGTGCCACAGTCAGGACTCTGCACATTCACTGCCAAGGGCATAGGTTCATCACTGGTTGGGGGACTGACATCCCACAAGCCATCCAGACACTTTCAGGAGGGGCGGGGACAAAGCCCATGACAAGTGGTGGGCAACTTCTCAGATATGAACTGCCCCCACTTGCCCAGCAGAAACGCGGGTCATGGCCGAGACTCGTGCCAACCACGTTTCCAGTGAAGTTGGAGGAGAGGGATTGCAGCTGATGACGTCAAGCAGATGGTCTCAGGCGCTGCTTCCAGGTGCATGCCACATTCTGACCACTGAATCACTGCTTTCCAAATATGGACTCAGGCATAACTGCACAGAGGCCCATGAGACAGACTGAATTACCTCCAGGGAACAGTTGTGATGCAAAAGCAGAAGGATGCTTCTGAATTATCCTTTGCACTAAAATAAAATTTAAACTACTCTAAAAAACAAAGGGCGTCCCAGGTGGTGCCTGTTGTAGTTCCCTGTCAGCGTTCAGTTGCTCAGTCATGTATGACCCCACAGACTGCAGCACGCCAGCACCAGGTGGCACTAGTGGTCAAGAATCCACCTGCTGATGCCAGTGAAGGAGATGCAAGAGATGCAGGTTTGGTCCCTGGGTCTGGAAGATCCCCTGGAAGAGGAAATAGCAACCCACTCCCGTATTCTTGCCTGGAAATTCCATGGACAGAGGAGCCTGGCAGGCTATAATCTATGGGGTCTCAAAGACTTGGGAGAGTTAAAAAGCTTGCTTAAAACTCAACATTCAAAAAACTAAGATCATGGCATCCGGTTCCATCACTTCAAGGCAAACAGAAGGAGAAACAAAAGGAGAATAAGTGGCAGATATTATTTTCTTGGTTTCCAAAATCACTTTGGACAGTGACTGCAGTCATGAAATTAGAAGATGCTTGCTCCTTGGGAAGAAAGCTATGACAAACCTAGACAGCATATTAAAAAGCAAAGACATCACTTTGCCAACAAAGGTTCATATAGTGAAAGCTATGGTTCTATTCATAGTCACGTACAGATGTGAGAGTTGAACCATGAAAAAGGCTCAGTACCAAAGAACTGATGCTTCTGAACTGTGGTGTTGGAGAAGACTCTTTAGAGTTTCTTGGTCTGCAAGGAGATCAAACCAGTCAATCCTAAAGAAAATCAACCCTGAGTATTCTTTGGAAAGACTGATGCTGCAGTTCTAATACTTCAGCCACCTGATGCAGAGAGCCGACTCACTGGAAAAGACCCTGATGCTGAGAAAGATTGAGGGCAGGAGGAGAAGTGGACAACAGAGGATGAGATAGTTGGATGGCATCACCGACTCAATGGACATGAGTTTGAGCAAACTCCAGGAGACAGTGAAGGACAGGAAAGCCTGGCGAGCTACAGTCCATGGGGGAGCAAAGAGTTGGACACGACTTAGCAAGACTGACCAACAACAAAGAGAGTTTTTTCACAACAAAAGAAACTTATCTTTATAAAAACCCATGTGAACAATTTCACAAGTTCCTGGGAAACAGTCTGCTGGTTAGCGTGTGGTGCTGCCCCCACAGGCCTCAGAGCCAGTCCACAGGCCCCAGGAGGGGCGGGTCTGCTGGGGGTGAGGAGCCTGAACCCGTCAGCTCCTCCAAGAACACTTGCTGCAGCAGAACAGACCTGGGCTCCATTTCACCTTCACTCTTGAAGGTGTGTGCACAGGCTACTAAGATCATTACTAGTATGTTCCTTATAAATTCAGATAAATTTTTAGTCTCTAAAATGACTGGGACTTTTAGTATTTCTAATACATTTTTTAAAGCAATTATTGTACACATCCTTACCGTTGCTCAAATCTTAAGTTTTACTACTCATAGTAAGAGGTGACTCTATATAATCCTTTCTTCCTCTACTTCAGAAATGATCAGAAAATTTTGGAATTCTAAGACCATACGCTGTATACATAGATTGAAATAAACAACAGAATTCAAAACAACATAACAAGAAGTTAAATGAGTTAAGAACATAATGTCACTTGACGTTTTTAAAAAGTACCCAAAGTTAATTTATTTAAAATTCAAAACTACTAACCATAAGCTAGATATAACAGAACAAAAAAATTTTAATAAGCCACTTACATCCTAGAGTTATCAAAGGAAATACAAGAAAATGTCGGCAATATTCATATTTAAAAAAAAAAATTACCAAAGACTTTCAAATAAGCAGAAATACCCTAAGACTGAAGCTGCTCCTTAAAGTGTAGTTCATCTCACTGCGGATACAAGTTTAAGTTACTTAAGGGAAAAATAAAAAGCTAACAAAAACTATTTATGCCTTCATAGCAGACTCACCACAAATTTCAACTTCCTCCTAAGATTAAGCAAAAGTACTAAACACTCGTTTAAGTTAGGCAGGTAATTTATCTTGTTTATTCCAAATACCCCAAAGCAGAAATGCACACAAATCACCTCAAAATATTACTTCATAGTAGTATTCTCCCAGAGATAAACTAATTCCCAAATAATTAAATCCTTCCCATTTTAAAAAGATTAGATGATGATTTATAAAATAGCAAAATGTGACAAATGTCTCTATTCTGCCTTTGAACCTTCACTTTTTAATCATACTTTGCAAATTAAAGAAGAAATGAACTAAAATGTAACTACAACTCAGAATGGAAGTTCCATTGCTTTATACCCATTTATAAGCTTCTCTGAATTCAGAATCTCCTTATCAAGCCACATTAACAATAAAAAATGTACTTTCCCACAAAAAAGACCACACTTACTAAAACATGATGTGTCAGCCACAGTAAGCAGCATAGGTAGCATCCAGGTGCCTATGCCCTGGAGCCACTTAACATTGACAATACTTGTCTTAAATATTAGGTTCCTCTCTTCCCATCGCACTATGTGCAAACCCACACACTCATGATGGCCGGAGAGCCACACATACCTTGCTGGTGGAGGCCTTGTAGGTGGTCTTCAGTTTCTGAGAAAGCTGGCTGGTGCTGTGACTAGCTGCAGAGACACAGAACCAACCGTCAAGAAAATCACACAAGCAAGAACATCAGAGCTGGGACAGGGAGACAGCTCGAGGACACGGAGGACAGTGCAAACTCGGGGTGTGTCCACACCAGGAGAAACGGGCTTCCTGGAGCCTCCCCGTCCTTCCACACCCACACCCAAGGGATGATACTCAAGCCTGCTGACCATGGAGAGGAAGCGAATCCTCCCTGCACCGGAGTCAGACTTCCTCCCTGCAGTCGCCCGCAGGAAGCCAGCCTCACCTTTAGTCTTGAGTTGGCCCTTACTCAGTTCTGCTCCATCGATCGCTTGTCCTTCAGCTGCTAAGCGCTCATTAAGAGTCTCGATTTCTCTACGCACTGAAAAGTAAAATAATGTGCTTTTCAGGTATATTCACCAATTCCAAAACTGAGCACATAAAAATGTTGCATGTTACAATTGTCTAAACAAGCACGTGAATGATATCCCAGTAAACAAGAGGATGGCCACAGAGTTCCAAAAAACTCAAAGACATTCCAAAACACAAAGTCCACCACTCATGCCACACCAGAAAGACACTGTGCTGCTGACCCCCAAACAGGGCTCCTGGATTTCAACAGGGTTCACGTCCTTTGTACCTTGTTCTGTGCACTTAAAAACACTGTTCTGGTCCTGTCTGAAACTCAATAAAATACAGTCTCCCCTGAAATCATTAGGGGAAACGTACAATAACAAAACCTGACTATTGTTACTATTGTCTGGCACCAGAGCATCAAGTGAGGGCTACACATCTCAGAGATTAAAAGTTGAAGGGGAAAAAGAAAAAACTCAACACTGGGGAGTTCCCTAGCAGTCCAATGGTTAGGACTCTGGGCTTTCATTGCCAATGGCCTGGGTTCACTCGCTGGTCAGTGAACTAGTCACGCAAGCCACACGGTGCGACCAAAAACAGAAAAAAAGTGAAGAGAAAAGTACTGAATCACAGTGGAAGGTGAAGAAGGAAGAGGAAGTACTGAATCACAGTGGACTCAAGGAAGAGGAAGCCAGTGGATGGGGAAGAGAGGGAGACGTGGGGTGTGGGAACGCCAGCAAGATGGGCCTCTGTCCTCACCTGTGGTCACAACTCACTCCAGCAGGAGACAGATGCCCCCACCCGCCTGCCCCCAGACCCTGACCTGAGTGTGCAGAGCTGGAAGATAGTAAACAAGTGCCATCATAAGCCCCCCAAGCTCATGAAAGCAGAACAGAAAAGGGGTACAAAGGTGAATGTGACCCAGAGATGAAACTCTCAAATATCCATATGGAGAAGTGACAGGTTATAAAAGTGTTTAAAATAAGAGCAATACTCACATTCTAAGTTTTCAATATAAAGGTTTTCAAATTCTCTTTCTATTTGACCAAACAATTCCAGAAGAGTACTGCGAACCGAGGAAGGCAGCTTAGAATCCTGCAGAGAAAGAAGTTTCTGCTGAAAGTGAATGAATAAGTGAATGAGGAGCTCTGACACTGAGCACTAGTACACTTTCTCTAAAGGGAATTATCATTCAAGCTCTTATTTTATATCTTTACACATTTTATTTCTTCTACATAAACACTCAAAAGAACTTTTAAGTTTCAAATTCCTACAGCTGAAACTAAAAACAAATTGTGTAAATGGCTCCCCAGGATGGCACAGGTTTTGAGGTCAAGCAGGTCTTCAAACACATAACTCCCTTTACAAGGACAGAGACAAGCATATTCAAAATCTCCAAGTCTGTGGGAGATGAAGCTATGAACAGCCCTTATGCTCCAGCACGTGGCATCACAAGTTAATCTTAGTAAGTGGTGCCTCACAGTCCTTACATCCACTGTGGTCCAAGCAGAGTAAACTGGACACTTCCTGTAACTCTACTCAGCACTTAAAGATTGCTCCAAGGAAGAAAAGTGAATTCAGCTATAAGAGCAAAAGGTGAATCAGCTGCATGAAAACACCAGCATGGAAGGTCCCAGGCCTCTGCAGGGGCTTCACTACGAAGCTACGACTCAGTGAAGCTTCTAGAAGAGTCTGCATTTGCACAGCTGGCATGGAAGAGGCAGGCCCCTTTCCCAGCCTGGGTCAGTGCCTCCAGGGCAGACATGGGTTTCCCACTCCACCCTTAACACCGCTGCCTTCTTGCTTCTGACTCAAGAATCCAATTCCCATAAAGGCTGCCTGACAGCTGAGAGCCTGTAATCCCGTCCAGAGCATCGCCCATGGCTCCACTCAGATGCCCCAGGCATCAGACTCCTGCACCTGAGGTCTGCCACACCTACCATGCCAGGTGCCCACATCCAACACCATCACCACCGTTGCTGCCACGGGACCGGACCAAGCGACCCCCCCCCCCCCCACCAGCCCGGGGAGCTGCCTGTCCGCCCACAGGCACCGACCCACCTGGAGGGTTCTGAATGACCCTCACAAAGGGGTACCTGAGAGGCAGCTGGCTCTACATCACAATGGGGACGGCACGGAAGCCCTGAGAACACGTGCCCCGCACACGGAGTTATCCCCAAAGATGCCATCAGGGGTGGCAACAAAGGGTCACTGCTGGAAACTGAGGTGACTAACAATTTAAAAGTTCCTTAGACAACCTGCACTGTCCAGTGGGGGAGCTGACGGTCACATCTGACTAACCTTAAAACTAGATTAATAACGATTTTTAAATTCCTCTGTCCCACCAATCACATGTGGCTCTGGGCGCCCACACAGGTAGCACAGATCCAAAACCTTCCACCACAGAAGTTTCACTGCACAGCTCTGGTTCAAGCATTCCTTGTCAGAAGAGATGAGGACAGACACCAGCGAGGAGGACCATGTGAGGACACAGAAGATTGGGTCCATATCCAAAAAGGAAGCCTCAGGAGGACCGGCCTGCCCACACCTGACCTCTAGCCACCCACCTCCAGGACACAGAGAAAAAAGCGTCTGCCATTTAACCTCCCACCTGTGGCACTTCGCTGTGGCCATCCACCACCCAAGCTCACAAGAACAGGCAAAGCCATTCTGGAGGCCCCTTCAATCTACAATTTTTTTTCCAAATTAAGTTAAAATGTAACCAATTCATTATTCACCCAGTCAGTACATAAGAGGACCCTAAGTGAACGTTTCCCACCCGCCAGCAACAGCACCAGTTTCTGAGCACACACAGCTGCATCCTGTCGGCACACCCTCCACGTCCCAGCTTCTTAGGTCAACAGCAAATGAGCCAATTTCTCAGATTTATGCCATATTTCCCTGTAACACTGTGGTAGATGAATCAGTTCTAACTGCAAAGGGATGATTTTATATATATATTGGGGGGGGTGGGTGGGGGGCAGATCATCTTGGTTCCCTGACCAGGGATTGAACCCATGCCCCCTGTGGTGGAAATGTCGAGTCCTAACCACTGGCCCACCAGGGAATTCCCAGTATTTATACTTTTACAGCTGTGGTAAAGATTGCACCTGCCAAAGCAGGAAACTCAAGAGACACGGGTTTGATCCCTGGGTCAGAAAGATTCCCTGGAGAAGGAAATGGAAACCCACTCCAGTATTCTTCCCTGGGAAATCCCATGGATAGAGAAGCCTGGTGGGTTACAGTCCATGGGGTTGCAGAGTCGGACATGACTGAACACGCACACACGCATATATACTTATGCCTATATATAAACATATAGCAGATACATCTACATTTTACTGTAACATATGCTTTTATTTAGATTTAACAACAATGTTCTTTTAAAAACCTAACATTTTACTCATTATAGAAGAACTAGAAAAAGTAGAAGCAAACTTATCTTTGTCAATAAAATATTAGATCACTGAATAAAGGGGGCATCGAATGACCAGAAATACATACAATGTAATAAGCAGCAGATATACTCACATAGCAGACATAGGATAAAAACAAGAAAAGTTGCTGAAAGATCAGATTCCAAGAACTCCTCAGAGAACAAAGATCATTATACCTGATTCTGCTCTCCTCTTGAGGCTCTGAGACAGAAACCTAAAAGTACACTGTCAATCTGCCTGTGCAAAGAATAAAAACTAAACCAGACTGTCACACTCACATTTATTACAATATGTAACACACTAACCTGGAAACTAAATTCTGCCTCTATAGGCTGTTGCACTTGACTCTGGTCTATGGGGGCCTGCTTGTTTTGGTAACCCACACTTTCCCTCCACTTTGGAGATCTGTATACAATGGGCTATTTTTTGAACACTGTCGACATGATTCACATCTTCACCAGACACTCACCTGTCCCTCTAACATGTCTCTGGGCAGGCCCGTCCTCTCCTGCTCTGAGCTGTTAGTTCTCCGTATGGAAAGGCTGTGAGATTTGCGCTTCTGTTTTGCTTGGCGAGCAGTTGAACAACTCCCGCTTTCTGTGGGCATTACTTCTGGAAGATGAGGTCCTGGTCACTCCTGCAAGAAGCTAAACAGGAGCAGGAAAAACTAGTACTGTATTTCTGATATGACAAACTGAAATGAAGGAAAAACAGGGGATAGGAATGAAACTGCTCAATGCAAATTTCCTTATTACGTTAACATTTACTATGTAAATTAGAATATGATACAGTCACATATTTTAAGGTAGAGACCACAGCCTTTGTTAAAGAGGTAATTTTTTAATCAAATTTCATTAACACCCTTTTAAAAAATCAACAGCAGAGAAGGGTTTAAAATAGAGAACTCTCCCTTATCCCACTCTCTGCAGACACCCCGACTCCCCTGGGGAACCAATTCTAACTGCATTTTCCAGCTACAGATTCCAGAGCTATGCCCTCCTAGAGAAATTCAATGCAAGCCCCAAAAGCAACTGTAGATATTCTAGCAAGCACATTTAAAAGATAAGGACAAATAAAATTTTAATGCTTTATTTAACCCAAGTTTAAAATACTCTCATCTGAGTCAAGTAAAAAATCCAAATGAGGTCTGTCAGCGTTTGTAAGCTCCAGTTTCCTTCTTACTCACACCACCACTCACTGGGAACCGGCCACGTTCGTGGGGCTCACCTAGGGTGAGGGCCACCATCATACAGCGCACAAAATCCTGCATGGCATCCCAATATCCACATAACACATTTTCCTTTCCCCATTTTGGACATTATTCATTTCCTGTTACCATCAACAACTCCTCACAATACAATCACATCACTTAGTTAATATGACTCTAAGCAGTGTATTTACACAGGACACACTCCTTCTTCAACTGCAGATTTATGTTTTGGATATCACTTCCTCATTTTCTGCTCTCACTGGCCCCTCCTTCTCCCAGCATACCATTGTGAATGCAAGTAATTTTAAGCATGTACTTTTATTTCTTCCTTCTTCAACAACCAACAGTATCTGTAGGTCCTCACTGTAAAATGGCTCTCAGTGTCCCACCTTCTCTGGAGCCGGCCCACAGCCCTCCACTTCCCATTCTGCTGCGGCAGAGTGCGTATTCTCTGGGGATCCTGAGCTTAGGGTTCTTGGTCTGCCCCCGCCAACGGACCACAGCCACCTCCTGTGGACTGCTAGCGCTGCTCCCCTGTGGATGCTGCACAGCTGTCTTAACCATGCACCTACTGCAAAGAATTCTGGCCCTTTCCAGTTTCTTACCATTACAAATAAAGCTACTATGACAATAACATACAGGATTTTGCCAAAACTCCAATACTTTGGCCACCTGATGCAAAGAGCTGACTCATTTAAAAAGACCCTGATGCTGGGAAAGACTGAGGGCAGGAGGAGAAGGGGACAACAGAGGATGAGATGGTTGGATGGCATCACCAACTCAATGGACATGAGTTTGGGTAAACTCCAGAAGTTGGTGATGGACAGGGAGGCCTGGCGTGCTGCGGTTCATGGGGTTGCAAAAAGTCAGACACAACTAAGCGACTGAACTGAAGTTTCTACTTCTTCTGAATGAAAGGCCAACAGTAAGACTGCTGTATGTTTAAAAGGGGAAAAAAAAAAACTAAAAAGTTTTTTTAAATGTTTGAGATATAATTCACACACAACCCACTCTGCCAAAACTTCTAAATTTTGATCAAGTCCTAACTCATCCATTATTTTTCTTCTAAGACTCATACTTTTAGAGTCATGTCTAAGAACTTTCCACCAATCCTAGATTTCCAAATTTTTCTGTTTTCTTCTTAAAATTTTAGATTTATCAGTTACATTTAAATTTACAAGCCATTCTGGGGCTGTTTTTTTAATGAAGCGTGAAGTTTAGATCAAGGTTTTTGGTTTTTTTCTCTGGTGGTATCCTATTATTCTAGCACCATATGCTAAAGAGAATCGATCCTACACCAAATTGAGAAAGTTTGGCATCTTGCTCAAAAATCAATTGGCTATATTTCTATGGGATTATTTCTTGGTTCTCTATTCTGTTCCACTGTTCTGTGCTATCTTGAAATCAGACATCTGTGACTTCTATCACATCTTTTCCACAATGCTTTAGCCATCCTAGTTCCTTTGCCTTTCCACAGAAATTTAGAATAATCTCATCCATATCTGCAAAAATCCTGCTACAACTTTGATAAGAACTGCATTTAATCTGTTGACTAATCTGGAGAGAACTGGCATCTCTATTATGTAGAGACTTCCAATCTATGGAAACAGAGGATCTGTTTCAGATCACCTTTGATTCCCTTCCTCAGCTTTGTAGCTTTCGCGTAAAAGTTCTATATATACAAATAACCCTGCAGATTGTATTTTTGTGCAATTTTCAATTGCTGGTATAAAAAAATACAACTGATTTGTGTGTAATAAGCTTGTATCCTACGCTCTTGTTGAACTCATTTACTAGTTCAAGATTTTTCTGTAGATTATTTAGCATCTCCTATGTGGACTACTGTGTCATGTAAAAAACGACAGTTTACTTCTTCCTTTCTGATCTGTATGCCTTTATTTCCTTTTCTTATCTTATTGATCTGGCTAGAAATTCCAGTGCTATGTTGAATTAGAAGTAACAGCAAACATCCTTTCTTTATTTGGATCTTGAGATAAAAATACTCAGATTTCACCACTAAGTATATTAGCTGTAGGTTTTGGGTAAACACATCGTTTTATCAAGTTGCAAAGTCCCCCTCTACTGTTCACATTCTGAGAGTTACACAAGTGAGTGTCAACTGTGTCATGTTTTTTCCTGCGTCACTTAATATGAGCACGTGGCTTTCTTCTAAGCTCCTAACAAGGCAATCACAATGTTGATTTTCAATACTGATCTAAACTAGAATCCATGGAGTAAATCCTACTTGAGCAAAGTGCGTAATTCAATGTTTTCTCATTTTGTTTCTTTTTTCTGCCTTCTTGTAGGTTATTTGATCATTTTTTGGAATTTTGTTCTGATTTCTCTTGTTTTTTAGTTTCTTTTGTATAACTTTTCTTAGTGGCTGCTAAGTTTTCATTATCTTTTCACAGCTTATCAGTCTGCTGACCACCAACGTTCTACCAGTTCCTGGTGAGTGTTGAAACCTTACTTCCTCCACATCCCTCTGCCCTCCCCACTGACAACATAATCATCTTAAGTGTTTCCTCCGAACACACTGAGAACCACATCAGACAGCTGTGCTTCAACTTTCAAACCTAAGTCAGAGAAGGAATGTCTATTGAATTTACCAATTCATTTACTCTCTCCATTGTTTCTTCTTCCTTCCTGGTGTTCCTACAGCGTTTCCTTTCTGTTGAACTTCCTCTATTATTTCAGGGTAGCTCTGTTGGTAACAAATCATGTGAATGATGTTTTCACTTGATAGAAAATTCTGATCTGACGGTTCTTTTCCTTTAGTACTTGAAAAACGTACTACTTCCTTCTAGCCTCTGCAGTTTGTGATGAGAAATCAACTATAGACAAAGGGACATTTCTCTCTTCCACTGCTTTTTCATCTTGAGTTTCAAAAGTCTGACTATGAGGCAGCTTAGCAGAGATTTCTTTGAATTTATCTTGCCTGGGTTTCACCATACTTTTTGTTTTGTTTTTTCATTTATTTTTATTAGTTGGAGGTTAATTACTTTACAATATTGTAGTCGTTTCTGCCATACACTGACATGAATCAGCCATGGATTTACATGTGTTCCCCATCCTGATCCCCCCTCCCACCTCCCTCCCCATCCCATCCCTCTGGGTCTTCCCAGTGCACCAGCCCTGAGCACTTGTCTCATGCATCCAACCTGTGCTGGCGATCTGTTTCACACTTGATAATATACATGTTTCAATGCAATTCTCTCAGATCATCCCACCCTCGCCTTCTCCCACGGAGTCCAAAAGTCTGTTCTATACTGACTATGAGGCAGCTTAGCAGAGATTTCTTTGAATTTATCTTGCCTGAGCTTCACCATACTTTTAGAATATATAGGTTTATGGCTTGCCAAACTTGGGAAATACCTAGCCAGTGTTTCTTCAAACATATTTTCAGCCCCACTGTATCTCTCCTCTCTTTCTGATAAAAAGGACAGATCTCTTGTTAAAGGCACAGGTCCCAGGGGTTTTGTTTACTTTTTTCTAGTCTATTTTCTCTCTAATGTTCAGACTGGGTAATTTTCGTTGTTTTATCATCAAGTTCACAGATTCCACAAGCTCATTTATTGTACTCCCCAGTTCTAAAATGTCCATTTGTTTCTTCTTTACATCCCATATTTTCGTCCTGAGATTTTCTATTTTTCATTTGCTTCAAGTGTTAGTATCTCCTCACTGAAAATTTTATGATGGCTGCTTTAAAATCCTGTCAAACAATTCTAATATCTGCATCGTTCCTGTGTGACTGTTAGCTACCTCTTCTGATTCAAGTTGACATTTTCCCCCTCAGTGGGAGAAGCCTCAGTATGCTGGGAGTTGTTATCAGACATGGGATCTGATCTAAGTCTTCCAGCAGGCCTCTTCTGATACTGGCCCAGCCAGCAAACAAGGGCATGGCCTTGTTTCTGCCAGGTGGATATAGAAAGTGGGGATGGAAGCAAGTGCTCCCCGCTCTGCCTCCTCTGACCCAGGAGGAAGTACCCCTTGCCAATGCCAGGTGAAGCTCCCCTGGCCTCTATTCACACCGCCGAGCTGAACCTACAGCACCCTGTTACTGTGCCTTTCCAGGCTTCATCACCACAGGTGGTGGTAAAATTCCTGAACTTTTGCTAGGTTTCTTCTGAGGCCATTCCAACAGCAAAGAGGAGGGTGTTCTTTGTTACCGCACAACAGAGATGAGAACCCAGCTCCTCACCAGGCCTGTCTGATCCCACCCAGCACAGGGTGGTCCCCACAAGGCTTGTCAGGGATCAGAGACTAGACTCCCCACCCCTCTGGGATGCTCAGTGTGAGGTGGGGCTGCAATGTTTTCTAAGCATGTTCTGTCTGACAGGCTGTCCCTTTCCTGATCTTCTGGTCAGAAGCCAGCTTTCTCGGGGTTTGCTGAGCCCTTTGGCATTTCTGGGTTGCGGCTGCTCCAGGCCCAAGACGAGGATGTATGGGGCAAGAGGAAAACCCAGGAACTCAGTCCTGAGTCAGTTCTCAGATCCCCATACACCTACAGTTTTCTTTCTCTCCACTTTTAAGTCTCATATTTGTTTTTTTGTTTGTTTGTTTTGTATTTAATGTCCACTGTGTTTAGCTGTACTTAGTAGGAGCAACAGGAAAAGTATACATCTACTCTAAAGCCAGAAATCTTTTGACTCTCTAATTGAACATGTGTAGGCCTTGTACAAAAGGTAACAAAAAAGTAAGTACATTCAAGTTGGTCAATTAGTTCCTCATGTTTAGATTTTAAAATCTGAAATCCACTAATTTATTAAAATTACTTTTTGCAGCATTATATAGACAAAATTTAACTCTCAAATTTTTTTTAAAAGGACACTTAATAAGGTAACTTTTTATCTCTAAAATTCTCATTTTAAAAAAAAATACCTTCTATTATCCTTGCTTTTTTGGATACTCTATCTGTCAAAGTCAGCCACAAGGCCAACATCCATTCAAGCAGAGGGTAGAGACTTCACCTATCCACAGGACAATAACAATCTGTGTTATCCATCACACCTTGTTTCACTAACATGAGTTTGAGAGTCATACAAACCTAAGTCCCCACCAACTCCTCAAAGGGCTGGCTCTCTTCCATCATGAAGCCTCAGGTTGAATGTCACTTCCCAGAACAGCCTCCCTTGGCGACCGCTAGCCACAGCACTTCATGGCTCTCGCCAAGCTTGTACTTACATCTGATTGATGATTTGCTCACTTAATAAGCATTTCCCCCACTACACAATCAACACAGTGAGGACTGGGACACAGTAAATTGGGGCCACTACTGTACTGTATTTGTTAGGCCTGACATAAACACATCCTCAAATATCTGACTGGTGGATGAACACTACATCCACCACTGACAGGCTGTGTAACCCTGGTCAAGTTACTTAACCACCTTCTGAAGGCTTAACTCTCCATCTTTAAAGCTACGATGATAACAGCACTACTTCAGTAAGTCACTCACCAGTATTCCTCTCATCTGGATGGGCTGAGCCCTGGGAATGCTGTAGTGAACAAAACAGGCTTGGTTCCTACCTTCTCAGAATGCTTAAGAGTTGAGTTGGAAGACAGATATTATACACACAATCTCATAACTTATTACAGAAGTTATAAATTGTGAAGAGTGCTACAAAAGACATGTGCAAATATTATGAGACCAGCTATTAGTTAAATAGTTACAAAGATC